ATTTGATGTTGTTGATCATCAATTGCTTCTTACGAAACTGCTCCTGTATAGAGTGAGTGATCCTTCGCTGTCATGGTTTGAATCATATCTTTCTGGTCGCCCACAGTTTGTCAGTATTGACGGTCAAAGATCAGACTCTCTACTTATCAAGCAAGGGGTACCACAAGGAAGTGTCTTAGTTAGGTCCCGCACCTGCACTGTTTTTATTATTTGTGAATGACATTCCATTACATCTAACAAATTCAACTGTGAACATTTACGCTGACGACACTACAATAACCGCAAGTGTGCATTTCTCAGATCTATGCTCGTTGATGCAACGTTTAAATTCCGATCTTGATACGGTTCAGAGATGGGCATCTTGCAACAAAATGTTCATCAACAAGAAAAAAACGAAGTTCCTTTTAGTGCACGGAAAGCACATTCCTGCTAAGCTGGATGAAGACACACCCCTACGCTTAGATGTCAAGATTGATGACTCTGTTATCGAACAAGTCTCTTCTCATAAGATTTTAGGAGTAGTTATACATAGTCAAATGAACGACGAATCACATATTGATGAATTATGTAAGAAACTTTCCAAACGCATAGGACTCTTGAAGCATATTAGCCCGTTTCTTAAGCAACCTCAAAGGGAAACCTATTACAATGGTGTTATAAAGCCCACCCTCCTGTATCGGAGCATGAAATGGGACAGCTGCAATGTTGAACATCCTCAAAGTATTTGAAAACTTCAAAAAAGAGCGGCACGCATTATACTCGATGCTGAAAGACTTACACCATCAGTCGTATTATTCAATAATCTAAACTGGCTCCCTTTTACTAAACAATCTCTAATAAAGAGATGCGCACTAGTGTATAAGCAGGTCCACAATAATATTAATTTTACGCCTATTTATTTGAATAGTCTATTAGTCAGAAATTCAGAAATTCATAATTGAGCCACTAGACATTCAAACATAAATTTGGTGTGCCCCAAGTATAAACGAAAAACCAAAGGAGGTCGTACTTTCACTATTAAGACTATAAAAGGACTGGAATTGCATGACTGCCAATATCAGAAATAATGGCTCGCTAGCAAGTTTTAAGCACAACATTTTTAAATCCTTTCTAGCTGAACAAAAGGCTGCGATGCTCCTTAGACCGTAATTGTATATACGTTTTAAGTTGTTTTAATCTATCTTAGTCATAATGTCTTTTTAGAAATTACCTATTATATTTTATCCTAAATTATCTTTGAAAATAGTATATTTTATATTTTTTAGTTGTAGAATCTATATTTGTAATTTTGTTTTGAGGGCCACACAGTCATCAGTGTCTTAAGACTACTGTTAAGTGTTTTACCCTCTTTAAATAAAGCCTATTATTATTATTATTATTATTATTATTATTATTATTATTATTATTATTATTATTATTATTATTATTACTAATCCTGCCAGACATTTCAATAACAAATTGAAAACATATCGCATTAAATATACTGAACTAATAATTTTAATTTTAAAAATAAACTGCTTAACTGTTTCATGCATATCTAGTTCAGGAGTGTCTCATAAACTAGAACTTAACAGCTTTGAAATAATGAAGCAATTTTTAAATTAATTATTTAATTAATTAATTAATCAGTTGACTATGTAATGTAATAAAAAAAGAAAAAACATTAAAATTATTTTAATGTTTCTTCTCTTTTTTTTGCTTTTGCTGATAAAGATCAAGGTAGGAAATTGTTTTTTCATTGCACTAGAATATAAAATTCTATTTACTTTGCTTTTCATTCAGGTATGAAACTTGAAAAGGAACATTCCAATGTAACAAAGCTGGATGGCAAACAAAGCAGATATACTGACATCGTCATTCGTCCTTTCAAGTCATGTGACACTGATGTAGTGCGTAACATATTTGCTGAAAGCATGGGAGAAATGCGCAGTCCCCTAGTCCATGATGTCATGTACCAAGCCATTGTTTATGGATTATATTTATCATTACCTGCAGCAGTGCTAAGTGTTGTATGGTTTTCTTGGTTTTTAGCACTGTATTTTATCATTTTCATTTTCATTTTGATTGTTTTGTTTGCTCTGTTACACATTGGTTTCTCAAGGTACATTCAACGATGTTTAGACACTGATCTAGGAGACATAGAACATACATATTTCCAGCAAAAAATGTCGCACTTGTGGGTTGCAGAGTGCAACCGAACAGTAATCGGTATGGTAGCTCTCGTTCCCGATACCGACCACGAAGGATGCTTTGGAAAGTCTGGGGAAGTTGTCGGAAGGCTTCGGAGAATGGCTGTTTTACCAGAATTCCGTAGATTAGGTGTCGCCAAACAACTTCTTGACACACTTCTGTCTTATGCGAAGCAAGTTGGGTATAAACAAATTGTTTTGCTGACAACCAGTGCTCAAGAAGCTGCTATTAAATTTTACACAAAGCACGACTTCCAACTGGTATCAAAGAGACTCGCAAACAGAGCAATGAGAGGATTTTACCATTTTGATTATTCTTATGACCTTGAAAGACAGAAATAAAATAAAGTATTATACATAATAAATATCATGATTTATTCTAAAAATTCCTAAAGACGGGCTGTTACAGTCACATACCAAGAGGTTTTTCACCCAGCTGTTGTTCAATGACCCCATATTATTGCCAATTCATGGAAAAAGAATTCAATAACGACACTGCAGCCACCATAGAGTGAAACACTGATTATATAGCTCAATGGAGCTGGGTGTTTTCCTAAGGGGTATGAGCTAGAGAAACCCGTTAACATACTCAGACTTTATACAGCAGCTTGGTGAATTTATTGGTCAGTAAGTGAAGTGTTTGTGTGATGCTTAAAAGAGAGTAAAAACGTGTTTGAAAAAATAAATATAATATATATACTAGAATAAAGTGGATGAATGCCTAATGTACCCTCATTTCTAAGTCTTTCACCCCACATTAGGGAATCGGAATACCAGAATCCAGGAAGTTTTTGCTTTGGAATCTGAAAATCCAGAATCCGGAATCCCGGGTTTTTGTAATCCAAAATACTTCTTAACAAATCGGGAATCCCAATAATGACTGAAATCCAAGATCCACTGGCAAAGAATCTGTAATTTAGCACCTGGAATCTGGAATCCACAGCATGGAATCCAGAATCGAAGAGTGTCTTAGATTTCCTTACATTGGGCAAAGTGTAAAATAAGGGAAGCAGCTGGTGTAAGAGACAAATATCTTTCACCATTTTATATTTGTTGTCTTTCTTTATCACTCTTCCTGCTTTAAGGATCAGTTCACTGTTTTAATTTCAAAATTTGGTATAAAATTTAAAGATTTTACTGATTCAGGGCTACTAAATATCCGGCTCATGACTCATTGGTTTGTGGCTGTGGTTTTGCCTTCACAAGTGTTTCTGATGCTTATAAGAGAGGGGGTGGGGGGCTTAAAAGAAAATTTGCGGTAAGATTTTAGAAGAGAAGAAATATACCGATCTCAAACTGCCTTGTCCCCGATTGCAAGTGATTACTTTTGGGGGATATTTGAGTTACTAGGCCACTTCCGAGTTTCAAAAGCCCTTTCAAAATGAGGCCAAGTACACAACCTTTCTTGTGAAAACGAGCGTTATTTGCATGAGAATGAAAAATCATTTTGAGTGCTTAACCTCGTTTCTCTTACAGAGGCTCGGGGGAACGCGGTAATGACCTATTATAAAGCCCGGGAGGGACTCCCCATATGAAAGGGGTGGGCATGCTCGTCGTCTCGTTTAGGGGTATAAATTTCGGATTTTGGTCTCACTTAGGGTGTTCTGGGCAAAACGCCATCATATTTAGCCGTGAAGGTCTCGTTTAGGGTTGCACACGAAAAAATATAAAAATAAACATATTGTCTGTGTTTTAACATGGGCTCTCTTAGGGGGCAAAAAAAACTTGGGCCCCGCCCAGATCGGTCTCCTTTAGGGGTTTAATTCAAAATTCTCGACGAGCATCCCCACCCCTTTCATATGGGGAGTCCCCCCGGGTTATAAAGGCTCTACCTAGTCTTCCTTGTAGCCGTTTTTGTCTCGTCACGCAAGAGGAGGAGCGTTGCGTGACGAGACAAAAACGGCTGGGAGGTAGACTTAGACTGCGAGCAGTCTCTCTTTTCCCTCAGATTTAGTAAGGGGAGTGCACGTGCGCGCGAGAGAGAGACGAGAGACGCCATTTGCGTGTCTCGCGTTTTGCTCGACGACGGTCTACAGAAAAAAGAGAGACTGCTCGTAGTCTAAGGTAGACTAGGCTATGCGCCCATTCCATCATCATCCCCAGTCTCGCGCTACTTGCTTGTCTCCAGCTCTTACGCTTCTCGCTTGCTCCATGCTCCCTGCCCTAATGACTGTGGAGGAGACAGACATTTCCTTTCGGTCAATATCGTATCTGACAAGTACGCGCGCGCGCGTTTAGGTAGAACTCGCGCGAGGCAAACGTCAGCAGAAAAGAATTTCGACATACTTGGGTGGTATGATAATCTTCCAAAACATCCCAAATCAGATTACGCACCGATTACACAAATTCGCAAGGGTGAACCATTTATCAATCACGATCTGTACCCTTTCAGCTGTTCGCACTAATGACACTAACCGCACAGCTCAAAATGGGCAAAAACTTTAAGAAAAATAAAATTAAATAAATGAAAAATAGATTTCCAGATGATAAAATGGTAAGGTAACAATAGTGCTGAATCGAAGTGGCAGTTAATAGGTCTTGAATTTTACAGTCAATTCATAAGACGAGGGCCGGTTCTCTGTTATGAAAAGTCGGATAGCGATCGCGGATAGCATGCTCGCGAATATGCTTGTCGTTCTCGTTGAATATTGAAGTTTATGCATGCAGAAGGGCTCTTCCGGAAGTTGATGTCATCTTAAAACAGAGGTTAAACGCGTAGTTATTGATTCAGCTGTTTGGTAGGATGTAGTTACGGAATGCAATTTAATCTGTTTATAAATGTATCACTTACATAACATACAGTTGCTGTATCGCAAAATCGAAAGTCATGAACGTTCGTTTTAGACAAATTTCTTCACAAACGGCCGCAATGAATGGAAAGAACAACTCCTGTTCTCTGTGCTACGGGTTCATATTCAATCTATTGGTTGCCCTGTGCACCATTGGCTTCTTGTGCTATTTTTTGTACCGTTTTGACGCAAGGTTGGTCACGCTGGAACGAAGAGTGTGGAACAAGGAACATGGCGATGGCAGAATAAGTACAAAGGAGAGGATAGGGAGTTATGGCCAAGCAAGTCAGCACAAGCAGGCCATCCTTATGAGAAAAGCAAGGACTGGTGGCAAGGTACGTCTTTCGGAAGCAAAACAGCTGAAAAATTTGATTATTGAAGAACAATCAAGAACGTGATCTAACAAGTCTCAATCTTGGGAAATATCAGGTCAAGTTCGTCAGTCTCACTCCAAGGAGTTCATGAATACTTACGGGTTTCATACAGAATACAATTTACGTCCTCCTGGGGATGCGTTTGCCGGCGAAAGGATAAACGCCAGAAACGCGCGTGTGACGCGCGTGGTAACTCAAAGAACCGGCGGCAAAAACGCTACAAAGCCATCAAACTCATAGTTCATCTTTAGCGGGATGATGATACTTGATATCAAGCTATTTAGCATATGTTTCATAAAATTTCACTGTTCAATTTGTAAAGCTATTCACGGCGGTGTAGACCGGATTGATTCTTGTTATGGCAAAATGCTGCAGAAAACGCAAGTAAAACAAAATTATTGTACCCTGCAATGAAATATTCATTTTTATAAATAGCTGTACCTATACATATGCCTTTGGTCACTGTTTCGTCATTCGGCTCCCGGAGTGATAAGTCAACTAATTTCTGCGCTAGAAAGAAAGAAGTGGAAATTCTTAAAACAGAAAACGGGAAAATGAAAAATGGGACTGAAGCAAACCCTAATTGTAACCTTTGCTTTATCTCGTATCGAGATAAGACAAATTTTTTTCGGCCCTTCGGGCCTCAGTTTGGTCCAAAAATAAGGGGGGGAGGGCGGTTCCCCCGAGGCCCCTCTCCTGGATCCGACACTGATAACAACAGGACTGAGTGATCGCATTAAGTCCATTCCGGTCTGTAATCAATACTTCAAGCTAGTGAATAATTAAATCGAAATACCGACGTTTCTGGAGCCGTTGATTACGTACCGAACTGGACCTTATGAAGTTCTGATACCAATAATAAAGTTATTATTCATTCAAAATATTTCCCCGATTCTGATTGGCTAAAAGCACAAGCCTAATTCACCATAACCAGCTACTGATGACCAAATTTGGAAGAATTTTGCGATTAATCAACCGATGACGTCAAAAGTGCAGCTTCCTTGCAGGTTAATGCATTGTTAACCGAGAAGACCTGGGGACGAGGTTGAGTTGTTTTAATTGTGAAAACAAAAATGGCGGACATTTCACTCGTTTTAAGAGTAAGAACTAGGCGAAATAATAGCTAAAAACATGGCAAGAACAGCAAGAAGACAACTCGAAGGGCGACATGTACATCTGTTATTTGGAGAATATTTGCGGAGCTGAACAACCCTAAACGTGCACCATCGAAGACGAACTTAACATCGATGAAGGTAAGCATGTTTAGCTATGTTTTTTTTTTTTTAAACTAATAATAAAACAATTATTGAATTCGGCTTTCGTATAATATGAAGAATTATGGAGATCGAGGAGGGTGTTATCCGCGATAGGTGGGCGCTAATTCGAGGTTGGGCGCTTATTCGAATAAATACGGGATCTGATCCTCGTTTTAAGGAATCCTGTTTCAACCTTACGGTCTGCAATGATATCTTTTTATGTAATTTATGTCATGTTCATTCCCAAGTTCTTTTTTGAACCTAATAGCTTCTGCGCAACGTATTAGTTTTCACATTCAGCGAAATTCACGACTTTCAGACGTAATTGTTTACCCTGGGTACCAGACCTTTTTCTCGCGTGCAGCGGGAATTTTCGGTGTTGCTCGCGCGGGTCACTATAAAGACTTGACAGAAACCGGAAACCGCGCTTGAAAGTCTCTGGCACCCAGGGTAATAATTGTTTTGCCCTCTCTAAGTTTTTTTAAGGGAAATTAAAGACCGGCCTTTGTTCTATTGGCAAGCAAGACACGGAACTCTTTCTGTTGGCCCTAACCTCTTTAGAACCTTTAATCTGATAGGTTCTTGTTGGCCCGAAGCTCTGTTGTTTCAGAGTTGGCGTTCATTGTTAGCTTTGTTTGGGTTAGGGCTATCCATTGTTTTCTAAACCAATCCTGTGAGCCGTACTTAGAGCTTCCGGCCCACTCAACTCTTTGTGCGATGTTATACGCGTTGTGGGTAATCAAAATTGTAATGGAATTCAGTAAACAGAGTAAACTTTAAGTTTACATATAAATTTATAATTTTTTTCACAGAAGGGGAGGAACCTACGAATCATATGGCGACCTATTAATAATTAAAGGAAACGCCGTAGTGGGAATTTTCTGGCTTGCAATCAGACAGAATACTGCACTAAAACTATTAAAAAATGAAACAGCGTCATTTAGGCACATGTACAGACCATTAGAAAACTTATGGGGGAATGAAGAGAGAGAACGTGAAATGAATTACGCTTATATTTCCAACATTACAGTTATACCTATATGCATTTGTCGCTTGGCCATTCACTTTTTTCACATAGGCCAGAATGCACCGTGTTTCCCCCAAATTTTGCAAGACCATTGTTTTCAATTTCTCCTGGGTATTACAGTCCTCCCAAAGAAAAATTGAAGACAATGGGTATGCAAAATTTGGGTAAACACGGTGCATTCTGGCCTATGTGAAAAAATTGAATGGCCAAGCGACAAATGCATATAGGTATAACTGTAATGTTGGAAATATGAGCGTAATTCATTTCACGTTGTCTCTCTTCATGCAGGGACTCCCGTAGCACGATGTCTTTTAAACAAACAGAATGGCGAAGCCCATGGGAAAGTTTTTAGTGAAATTTTCCCCTCAGTCAACCAACAATATGAAGATTTTAACAATGGAGAAAGGATCGAAGCGATTACGGTTGATTTTTCTGACGCCGAAGCTAACGGACTCGAAGAGCCCCTCGGAAAGGATATGACGAGTAAAATTCTTCGTGGGTGCAAGGTGAACTTGATTAGTTTCATTGAAACCCAGATCAACTTTGTTTTCCCTTCACCGGTCCGACGCGCCCGAGATAACGTGTAAACATAAAATTTAATTTTGGACATTCCAAACATATATCATTGCCACAACAATGTTAATGCAAAAATAAAATAAGTACAAAATTGTGGTCAATGTCCAACAAACATATAATTATGTTATACTATTTTCGTATTTTCGCAATATTGAAGGAATAGAGTATCTTCAGTTAGCACCGTCATAGTCGAATTGTCTACTTCCAGTCAGAAGTTCACTAGTATTTATTAATAAACAAATGAATTGTATTTTTCCTCGGAGAAAGAAACGAAAAAAAAAACGTAAAGAACAAACAAACAAACCAATTTTTTTTGGTTTTGTTTTGTTTTCAGGTACATTGGTCACGTTCATACAAGAGGGTAAGCCACCCTGTCTGCTCAAATAAAGATGAGATAACAACCTTCCAGCACCTGGCGTAGAAAATAGAAGATGTAAAGAAGAAGGAAGAAGTTCTCCTGCTTTTCGACGTTTTGGCGGGTCAAAAGCACGTCAGCAGTGCGGCAGCTTTCATAACTGATAAAAAATTAAGAGAGGGAGCACAATTGATAACTAATTCCTCCTGGAAGAAAGCAAAGGCCTGGAAGGAATGGTGGACCAGAGAGAGGCATTTATGTAAGCACTAATTTTTCATTGATATGCTAAAACAAAAAATCTGTACACTTTCATCTGTACACGCCAACATCACTGGAAATTTTTAATTATCTTCACTTGCTCTGTTGGAAAAGGCCAGAAAAGCTTCATCTACAGACAGAGAATGAGGAAAGGCGTCACATTCTCTTTTAAATCTATTTTAGAGTTTAAAACATTTCAATTTCCTGTTTATTAGGCATGTTTACAACTGCTTTTACTCTCATGGATGAGGAGCATGATGGGATCATGCTACTGCAAAGACGAAGTCAAAAGTACGTAGTTATTGCTAAAATTAGTTACTTTTCAGTGCTATTGGGATTACTGTAAAGTTGAATTCAGGAATTAGATGAAAGGGCCTTTACACAAGACAAGTCAAGAAATTTATTATCTTATTGTTGCTTACAACTTCTTGGCACGAATTACTCATGGACAATTCACCTACCTGGAAAGCCGGGGGAATACGACATTGCCATGAATGGCTAAATAAATGGATTTCTGCCAATAACGAACATTTTATTTCAAGAAAACTATTAGACATGAAATTTACTGTTATGATAAGATTGTAAGAGTTAGAAAATCAGTAAAAAAAGCACACAGTGACGTCTAATGTGTCCTAAACTAAATGAAATCAATGCTTTTTTTTTCCAGGTCCACCAGACGCTTTAAAAACCAAGCGAAAAAAAAAACAAGAGAAGGTAAAATTGCTTATTTGGATTTTTGTTATTGTCAATTATAGTGATCTAACAAGGGAAACTGGTTGTCCTTATATAAAACTAAATTTAAGAACGTATTGAGTGAGAAAGTAGCGATGCAGACATATAAATGGAATTTCTTTACCATCGAAAATCAAGAAGTGGGGAATTTGGGCATGTCAGCTAAAATAATTGGGCTCCGCACCTATGTCTATAGTGCATTGGATAATTTGTATACAATTTCCCATGCCATGGAGTGCTTCTAATCCATTGCTCAGCAATGTGTTACGATGGAAATAGATAACTTTCGTTCTGTTAAAATTTACTGTAGCTATAACCGCGAGGGCACAAGGTATAATCTGCAGTTAGGCATTCATTTTTGTTCATTCATTTGATGGTGGTTTGTGTGTTTTTCTTTTCAACAGACAACGGCTTGCTGATGAATAGACGAGTGAACGTAGAAACAGCTGATGCAGACGGGAACTGGGAGGGGTGGTTCGTGGGAACTATTATAAATTACAACAAGCAGACCAAGCAGTATAGGATTTCTTTCGATGTTTTCGATAGCACTCACAATATTGTTGTTCCGGGCGATGAAATTCCATCGGAGGACATTGAACTCTTGTAAATCCCCTATTTTTGTCCAGGCCTTGGTTCCTTATAAAAGTTTGTTGTTATATAAGCAAAGTATGGTTCTCTAGTGAATAAATATTAAGTAAATAAATGAAAAACCCAAAATTTAAAAAGAATATATACTCAAAACAATATTAACCCTCTTCAGACTGGGCATTTCTTGTTTCCTGCCACCGGGTTGAGGGGGGGGGGGGGACTCATGCACTTTTTTGCCCGTTCCACCATTTACTAGTAAATAGTGAACAAATACTAGTAAATGAAAATCTCGCTAACAAGTCAAGCCTTTTTGGCCCGTTCCACCATTTACTAGTAAATAGAGTCAAGATACTAGTAAATGAAAATCTCGCTAAAAGGTCAAACCTTTTTCGCCCATTCCACAATTTACTAGTAAATGAGAATTTCGCTAAAAAGTCACGACTTTTTGTCCCTTCCACAATTT